GGCATAGTACCTACAATCAATCTCGGAAAATGTAAATTTCCCTGACATTATGTAAAGTAATTAAAGTTGATATTATCTGTAAGCACCTATAAAACGTGTCGTTGCTTACGGGAACAAATTTGTCTTAATCTTATTCCCCGGCATTTAATAAACTCTCTTATAAGAAGCAAGAAGTTGTGTGTACGGTGGGTTCCCGCATGGCATCCGTTCTTAATATCGCTATCGTGACAGTGGAATTTTTCATTGCGTTCGAAGATAATCCTCGGATATGATGTAATATAACCGGCGCGTATTTTTCTTCCTTTGTTGCCAGCGACGCAGGTACACGAGCGGACAAAGTAATTCCCCGACTAAGACCGCGATTTTCCACATTTTCACAGGGCTAACAATGCCAGCGGTAAATATATATCGTGGCCCGCTCATTGTTACCGCTTATCCGCCTCGCAAAAGCCCTCGCTTTGTACATCCCCGCAGATATTAAAAAACAAGTCATTAGATGTGCTCCGCGTTCATATACACTGTGAAATAACCAAAATTTTTGTCATGTTTTAAAGTAAAGTTGCTTGCTTAATAGAGATATGACTAAATCGTGGTTTGTGTCGAGGTATCCATTTGAAAAAACACTTCTTTAGGCCTTGATGCTCTATAAAATCTTAGCAGAAAGCAAAATGTAAAGATTGCTACGTGGTAGACATTGGCGAGGGTTGAGATCAGCGAGGGTCGGCGAAAGAAATTAAAAACCTCGCCGCATTGTGCGCAACCAATTGATTACGCCGCTAATTGCCAACACTCGTGCAGGCTCTCTCAACGCGCACTCCTCGCTGTAGAGTTGCATTCCGCATTACACCCTCTTAGTCTAATAGCACCCTAGTAGCCCTTGCGCCTGCACCAGTGCCTGCAATAGTCTGGCACTCAGTTTGTGTTTCGCCCATTTGCCCACTATATTAGCTTCATTAAAGAGCAATCTGTGAATATTCCGAATCAAAATCACTGTACAATATTATCAGGTAGATAAAATTGTCAAAGGGAATTTTTAAAAATAACAATGGAATTTGCAGTATTTCTAATGAAAAATTTAATAAAGTTGACCTGACTGTTATAATGTTTTACAGCAGGATAAATATTTGTACGTCAGGCTCATCTTGATCAGGGTAAATGTTGTTGCGCGACAAAACATTCCTGTCATTTTTTTTCCTGCCCGAATATTTACATTGTTTTATTTGCTCGGGGAGCGATGAGGGGAAATTCAGAAAATCTTTACGTTCATCACGTGTGGCAGTAAAACTGTGAAACAAAACAAAACCGCTCAGCGGGTGGCGGCTTTGGTGGCGGTGGCGAGCGACCCTGCCGTTACCTTTTATTGTTCCCCAGCTAACACGTTTCGATTTTACTGCGTTTTACTACCTGCCCGCTGACAAGTCCAACCTTTTTTTAACGCGGAAATTTTGATGTTTTTCCTAGCGTCAATCAACCATTTGCTTTATCGCATTATTTTATGGTTTTGCAAATTTTATATCTGTTAAAAAAATTAGTAAGTTAACTAAAACTTAAAGCGTAAAATATAAATCCGTGATTCCCTTGCTGCTCGTCCTGTCCCAACACATTTAATCATCTTATGTTATTATATTTTCTAATTCTATTAAAAGAGCCTCGGGGAAAAGTGGAAAGGAGTGGAGACGCGCACTTTACGCTTTCCCCCGTTTACTTCTTGATTAAAAGCCGTTTTATTAACTTCGACATGAGCAGTCACACACAGACTACGTACAATGGAAGCTAACCGGAAGAAGAAATCGAGATTTTTCAAATATTACACTCGACGAAAATCGTCCGATGCTAAAACGAGAATAACCCACCAGTGAAGAAATGGGAAGTGTGTTTTACGAGCGAAGGACGAAAATAAAAGGGAGCGAACTCACTTAACTCTGCCGCCGCCTCAAATCGCAAAAATTTAATGCCCACTCCAACACGCGTCGCTAAATTTATGTATTTTAATTTTAAACGCCCGATATGATAGCCACACGCGTGTATAAAACGTAAATTATTTTGGGGGATGAACAAAAAATGCCAAGAATGAACGAAGCGAGAATGGCAATGAATAAAACTCGGATAGGTTCATGTCGCCATTTTTTCTTATTATTTAAGGCCGCTCGTTTTTAGTATTTTATGCTTTATTGTCTTCATATTTTTATACAGAGTGTTCCTTTATTTTAATTGTAATCACGACTGAAACAAAGTAGTTGGTAAAGTGATTGACCACAAATAAACCTCTCTGATGAGGCTTTTGTGTTTGTTAGAATATAATCTTCTGAAAGTGCAAGCCATCAAGTAATGGAAATCGTATTAAGTGGAGGGTGGAATAAAAGCTTGAAAAAACGCCTTGTACATGTTTCACAGAAGCTAAACGCAAAGAAAGAATTTTATTTGTTTCTTTGCAAGATTCCCCATGAAAAGGACTTTTTGTGCATGATATTAGTACAATGCCTGACATCTTCCCATGTTTGCAATTTTCATTATCGTGTAGGAACGAACACGACTCCCTCCTGTTACCTTTAATTCGAGACTTTATTTGGTAGCCGCACTCAACTTTTTTATTGCACTCTTCAATAAATTCCGTTTTTTATTTCTTCATTGTTCCGTTTATCGCTGCAAATGAGAAATAACGCAAAATAGCGACGATATATTTGCACGAGGAGCAAACGTGCGAAAAACAAGAAGCGGGCTGCAAACAAGACATTAAACTCGTAATTTCCAATAAACTCACCGACGCTTTGAAAACAGGGCCATTTGGAAAAAAAAAGGAGAATTAATGGACGGCGTCATAAAGTGCGACCGAACATAAAGTATCGCATTGGAGCGCAACGCGAGAAAAACTGCACCGCCAATGCAGCGATGGTGGCAGCGCGTCGACCACTAAAGTCTAAAATAGTGGGCTGCCACTGCTATTGCGGCGAGCTAATGGAGACGCATTGATATATCGCACTTCGACACCAATGCGAAATAATAACCGCAGGATTTACCGCTATAAATATTTCAAACCTCAATGGAATTGAAAGTTTTTCGTAGCAACATTGTTTGAAGTTGTCAAATTGGAGCATTGCCTGTAATTCCATTTATCGACGTTACACTTGCATGTCGTGGCGGTCCTCGAGGGGCCAAAGTGTCAGCACTCCCGCGCTGCGGCGCACTCCTGGCACACACTCGCAATCCCCTCAAGATAAAGCGACTTTGCTGTTGAAAGCTTTCAGCATGGGATCTTGCTCCTCGACGCGCTGCAATCTTCCAGCCACAACACAACATTGTGTGCAGCAAAGCGCAATAGCAATAGGCAAACACGCTCGTTACGACTGTGTCCTTCCACATACATGTTTAGTATATATGTATGTGTAGTTCTCCGGGCACTTGGACCACGTTTTGCTATTGCTCGAAAACACTCGACGTTTACGCGACTTTGTGCTCGAGCACAAACTCGACGTACAAGGCACGACGCACGACGTAGTGCGTTTAATTACGAGCATGAATTACGCTTTATTTTGCTTCATTTCTCCGGCGACGCTTTATTTCACTTACTTTTCGTTTACGGGGCGCGGTATCAACAAAAACGCCAACAATAGAACCAAGCCGTGGCAGTTAATTCTCAACGCAGTCGTTGTCTGCATCGGCATCGCCATCGTGCAAATTTGCATACAAATGAAATAATGTACGAACCTAAACTCGTGTTTAATTATTATTGTGTTTCGTGCATTCAGTATCTCGTAATAAATTTTAAACTTGCGCATGCGCAACTAAAGTGGAATAAATTCAATGAGACAAATCGTTTATTTTCAACGTATCTAACTTTCACATTAATTACTTATTGCTCGTTTTCGCTTCGCCCAGACCGCAACTCTATACAGTTGGTGTAATATCGCATAATAATGATGCAGAAATCGATTTCCCAATTAAAAATGTAGCCGGTCGGTCGCATGCGGCCGGCCGTCGTTGCTTGGTGTCTGGCGTACGAATCAAAATAGCGCCTCGTTATTGCGTTATGACTGCAATTACGCGTAATTATCGTCCGTTCGCCGACGTGTTCTGATTACGAAACAATGCATAACATGAATGACAAGCGTGTGGGGAGACATCGTAAACTTTAATTTAACCCTAGTAAACATTTACACTTCCGCAAAACAAAAAAAGCGTTATTATAGTCAATGATATTTATGACTCTAACTATTCTTGACTATTATGCATTAAATAAATGACGCTAGTGTAGAGTATTAATTATGTGCTTTAAGTACTTTCAAGTGGTATTCACTAACTTTGCGTTTCAATTATTCACCAACACTTGATATTCAGTACGTCAACGAATGAAATAAGTAAATCACAGAATAGTTTATAGCTTTTGCGAGTGTACAATAGCGTCGCAATAAATTCAGTTGTTGAATTCTGAGCTTCGAATACCGAACGGTGCATCAAGACTTCCTGTTCCTCATTGCAACCCTCGTCGCTATTCTTTGCCTTCTCGTTTCCATTTTGTATTTTGCATTTGCATGGCGCTCATTGTTTGTATTCTACTTCCGCGGTGTTTGGCGACATTCGGCGCGTTTCGAATTCAGCCACTAAATGCATGGACTATTTGCCTCGTTACCCCATTTCTCCACTGCGATCTACTCTATACTCCTTGCCGCATTCTTCGCGTGCGCGACGCAACAAAACACAATTTCTATGGAGACCTGGACGCAATGACAAAGATATCATTTACATACTGCTTGAATTTCGTTGCGCAAATGGTTCGAAGCGAGGACAAACAGTTTTAAGCCAAATTAAATTTGTGCCTTGCCATTGTTACAATAATAAATATTTTAATAACAGTAACAAAAGCAAATATTTAAGTTACGGTAGCAGTAATGAACGCAAATTGTATTGTTCGTCATTCCCATGACCACGAATTGAATATTTTTGTTGAGATTCATTTGGAAAGAAAATACGCAGCGTCGTTAGTTCGAAAATATATCACCTACCGCAATATCCTTCCTGTGTGCCGACATCCTTCCGGTATTCTGGTTCTATCTGGTTCCCATGGTGCTGAGTTGCGATGCGACCGGGTTTCACCTCTTATCGCGTTGGCGAATTTACGACTCGACCTTTTACACGCATGTATAACTCTCATGCAGGTATCTCCGCCCACACTGTAAAAAGAAAAGAAAATCGTTTTGAGAAAATTGTAGTAACATTTTATAATAATGACTATTTCATCGCTGCAAGTTTAATCGTGACCAATGCCAATATGATAGAAATGCATTGCGGCACGATGCTAAGATATTAATCACATGGCCGCTTGGCTTTTATTAATAGTGTACGGAAAAGTGTATTAATTATGTACTGCCCACTGTGCACACTGGCGAGTAAAAAACAATAAGCGTGTTTTACATAATGTGCATACATGCATGTGACGATAAGCATGGTGATAAGCATAAAGAAAATGCACACACTTCTTTGTTTGGTATTTTTCATTTAAAATTCTTTAAATTTCACCTGTAATAGAGGCAGCAATTATTTTTAATAGAAAAGTTAAATCAAAAATCATTTGCCACTTGAATTCAGTTCCTAACTAAATAAATACCTAGAAGTTAAAGAAAGCGCACCTGGTTCATACACGTATTTTATAAAATTGCTTGAAACTCTTGAAAACTATCCAAGAAAAGGAAAACGCACCTCGGTGGCAATAATCCCAAGGGGCCATGAGGAAAAGCTTGTTATATGTTTAATAGCGGGCACACTGTGCAGTGTGGGGAGAGGGAAGAAAAGCAATAAATAGAAAAATTCCAACTTTTCCAGCACGCTGTTACGCTCGACCACAATGAAGCCCAACCCAACCCACGAGATGGTCATCGGGCGAAATGCATTATTCGACTCACCCCAATCTTTCACTCGACCAATATATGTGCAGTTTGCAGCGGGTTTTCTTCGAATTTCCACGAGGCTTATGTAAATTCGTAGATATTTGAAATTTTTTCGCATAAAACTCCACTTAGAATTTTAATATTTTGCAGATTTAAGTTTAGTTATGACAGATGTCCCGTTTCTTTCGGCTGTTTTATAGCCGAGTATAAATTTAATCGTTTATCACTTTCAACTAAAGCCTAAAGTTTTATTAAATTTTGGTTTTAGTTGCGCCACGCGAAGAGAAGTAGGAATGTTCTTTACTACGTGTTAAAGTGATGAGGCGGTTGCAAATAGAGAACAAAGAATGTGACATGCAAAGAGGTGGAGGAAATGGTCGGATAAATGTGTCGGATACGCGTATGCAAATGCTCGAATTGGTACGCAAACGAGCCAACAAAACGTAATAATTTAGTTTAAACGTTAGCGCAGTTGGGAAGAACTACCCTCTTGCTTGCAAATGTGTATGTGCGAAGAGTGGAGAGCAGTAGCTTTGGCTTGGGCGGTAATTTACAGTGGATAAAGTAAATTAATGCAATTTTGTTGGGCAATTCGAAGCTCGTTAGATCCTAATACGCTTTTGATGCCCCAGGAGGAGATCCTCACATCGCTTCTATGTACATATATGTTACGAAAGTATTCATGTAATATTTTAGTAACGAAAAATTTTGAAGGCTTATGTAGTGATTATTGGTAGCATGATGATGGCGTTAACGACGCCGATGGCCTGGCAATTTGAGTGCGTCTCATTACGTCTCATTGAAGCGCACTTCAAGGTGCTGAAGCCCCGCAGCAATGTTATAATTACGGGCCGCAGCTGCCCAAGGACAATGGACCGTCAGAACTGCCAGAACCATGAGTACCACTTCACTCTCTATGTTCTACCATTCAAGCTCGAATGTCGATTCTAAATATTAAAATATAAAAGAGTCCTTATCGCGGACTCTTTTGAGTTAATCACAAATAAATTCTCTTTCTTGTAATTTTTTTCTCGGCCGGATGTTTAATCCAAACGTGATATTAATCTAAGTTTTACAAATTTCATCATGCTAGCCATAATTTTACCTAATTTAATAGATATAATGTATTTTCATGGTATTTTAACTAGGCGCCCATAAAATTTAAAACACCATTCGTTATACTTATAGTTCCGGCGTGCCCAGTTTCTGAGCTTCCTCGCACGCCCCAAATGGAATGAACACTGGGAACACTGGATTTAATCTCCGATTGTGTGAAATTTGTGCACTCCAGGCGCTTGCCGGCGCAAACTTGTGTGCCAAAAGGCATTGCGCCGTATTAAACTAGGATATTTTCATTTGCGCCAGCGCGCTCCTTGTCTTCGTGCGCCAACTTTATGCATTTTAACGTTTTTAACGTGCTCGTAAACGGAATTTACTTTAATTTCAGTTTTCACCGAGGTCGCTGCAATATTTACACGCGAACTAATGTGCAAACTAGTTAAATTAATCCTGCTGCCGCAATTTACTTCCGAGTGATATTTAAAATTCATTCTATGACCAAAAAAAGCCGCAATGAATTTTTTATTGTTGCGTATATGTCTAGGCAAATTCACCGCGCCGTTGGTTTTAATTAATTTTTTGGCATTGATTCCGAAAGTCGCTGTTCAATGAACACGAGCACATCATTGATGAATGCGTCTGCCGGTAGTCTGCGTGCGGTGTTCGCTTGGGATTTTATTTCGGATTGGAATCACATGTTCGATTCTGGCGCGCACGGCGCACTGGAGAGCTTCTGCTCCATAAATTAATCGACCAGGACGGCATCGAGTCGAAACTCATAAATCTGCGCCCTGTTTTTTCAATTTTATCGCGTGGCCGATTCTACAAATATTAACTGCACCATTTTGATTGATTTTTACGCCCTCTAGTGGATACTTGAAGAACTAAAATTAAAATTGTATCTGCTAACGCAAATTTAATATGATAATTATACGTATAATTTCAACATATTGACCTGGTTATCACCGGGATATAACGAGTTATTTTAGTGGGAACCGCGGATGAAACTCGTATAATCGCGGCGAATTGCTTTCGGGTCTCTGGCGGGGAAGCGAGTGCAGATTATGAGAATGATATTATTTTGCTACATGTGGCTTTGGAGTTTTGGGAATTTTGGGATTCGTTCCACACTATTTATGTTATGCCGGGATGTAAGCCGGTTTCCGCTCTCTACTTTTGTAATTTGGCGCTTTACACATCCGCATCGCAAACGGTTATTATAATTTTGAATTATTGGCCAATTAGCGAAAACGCGTAAAAGGTAATTGGAAACTGTTTTCGTTATTATATGGTTAACCTTATATCGCATGCGCACGTGCGTGTTATATCAACAGCTTCATCGCTAATCGTACAAATACATACAATATTAACTTTTGCTGCCCTTGGGCGACAGGAATTACGGAAAGCGACAAAATCAACGCTTGATGAATAGGTAATATATAGTATGCACTAATCGATTTAATTTTAAACCGTTTGTTTTAAAAATGGCTGAAAGCTTTTCTCTTGAAAGCGCCACAAAAGTCGAGTGAGCTTTCATCCGGTTTTAAGTGAAAATAATCATTAGAAGCGATTTGGTCGCAAAGTGGAAGCGTCGCGGTAATCTCGGACCGTGATTAACCTTTTAATTAAACACGGCGTCGCCGGATAAAATAAACAAATGCTGGCGAGCACGACCGGCGGCTTCCGGAGTTTTTAGCGCTATCAGGGAACAGATAGAACCCACATCCATATGCGTCCACGTTCTCCGCGCGGCGCGGTCCAAAATTTCCGTCCATACGTGCGCGCGCGCCAGACAACAAACACCAGATTAATTTAATTCATTAGCTTATCTGCGGCCCAGCGCCGGCCTGAATAAACCCTCTACGTCCCGCCGCCCCCCTCGACAGCGCCCGGCGCTTCCACCTCATCCGGCATACCGACATAAACAATTTCGGGCTTTATTTTGACAAACAAAAAAAAACACAGTGCCTAAAAACATGGTGAACGTTGGCGTGCATTACAATTTGTAATTTGAGTTGGGCGTGGAATTGTCGAGCGCTTTTTTACTCGTGTTAAATTACAAACAATTTTATAAAATAATTGGTTATAGTTCAAATTCCAAATAATTTTATTTTTGTTATGTGTTCGAGTGAAGCTGTAAAGTCGTGAGTAATGCTGTATTGTATGACAGGGATAATTACACGTTTTTAATTCAATAAATTTCGGCCGCTGATGCACTTTTAATTGTATGTAATTATTTTCGTAAGACAAATGGCGATTTAATTCGTTTTGAAAGTGCATGTCTGCGAGACGGCGTTTAGGTGGCGCGTAATTAGCGCAATTTGCGTTTATATGTGAATTCATTAAGCGCATCTCAGTATGCAGCTCGCGTGTAGTCCGTTGCAGCAATAATCGTCGCTCGATTAGCTTACCTCATGCCGCGTAATCTAAGATGTTCTATGCAAATCGTTAAACGCTAAATCAAACATTAATGGATAAATCTCCGAAGATGAGTATTAATTTTATAGCTCTGTCTGCTTGAGCTTAGAACATAAACAGGAATTTATTATTATTGCATAAATGCGGTAGATAATATTTTTGGAGTGTTACTGGAAAAGCGTTTTCTTTTAATTTGTCAAAGTCGGACGTTAACGCTGTGTTTTTCAACGTTTGTGGGAAATTTATGAATATTCATGCGCCGCATGACAAAAACGCCACCACCGCAGTCACACAATGAAAAAAAAATTAATTAGGAGATCCCCGAGTAGAGACTGAGACTGGCTCACTGGCTGTACGGCACTATCGTCGCGCGCCGGCGGTGCGCGGTAAATTTTTGTAATTATTTCCAAACGAAAACGATGCATAAATTGCAATGCCCCGAAGGCACAGTCTGGGCGTCCAAAAGCGTTCGCAGACTTGAAAATAATGATTTTCTGATTTCAAACCACCGACAACTCTGCATGCATGCACCGCGTTCCCTTGGAGCCGAGCTTTTCTACTCACTAATCATTTCCAGAGCTTTTCTGCGCGCTGAAATTCTCGTCCTCCTGCGTCAGTGCAATACAGGAACTCCAGTGCGTGTGGCGAAATGTGCGAGTGTGTAATGGCAACGTTAGGAGTACAAAAGCGAAAGCGTATCGAGTTCTTTCCGCGCATTGGGGTTTTGTAGCGGGGGTGAGTTGCGCGAGCGTCGGGCGCATGCAGTAATGCTTCAGTAATACGATGCAGACGAGGTCGTGTAATGCACG